AAAGTCATGTTCGCTCAACGCGCTGCGCTTTGGTCTCCCTCATTGGACGATCGTGACACAGGGGTGGAAGCATCATGCTGTGGGGGTGCTTCGCTGCAGGAGGGACTGGTACACTTCACAAAATAGATGGCATCATGAGGAAGGAAAATCATGTGGATATATTGGAAGCAACATCTCAAGACATCAGTCAGGAAGTTAAAAGCTTGGTCGCAAATGGGTCTTCCAAATGGACAATGACCCCAAGCATACTTCCAAAGTTGTGGAAAAATGGCTTAAGGACAACAAAGTCAAGGTATTGGAGTGGCCATCACAAAGCCCTGACCTCAATCCTATAGAAAATGTGTGGGCAGAACTGAAAAGGCATGTGCGAGCAAGGAGGCCTACAAACCTGACTCAGTTACACCAGCTCTGTCAGGAGGAATGGGCCAGAATTCACCCAACTTATTGTGGGAAGCTTGTGGAAGGCTACCCGAAACGTTTGACCCAAGTTAAACAATTTAAAGGCAATGCTACCAAATACTAATTGAGTGTATGTAAACTTCTGACCCACTGGGAATGTGATGAAAGAAATAAAAGCTTAAATAAATCATTCTCTCTACTATTATTCTGACATTTCCCATTCTTAAAATAAAGTGGTGATCCTAACTGACCTAAAACAGGGAATTTGTATAGGATTAAATGTCAGGAATTGTGAAAAACTGAGTTTAAATGTATTTGGCTAAGGTGTATGTAAACTTTTGACTTCAACTGTATGTATATGTCATAAAATGATAACCCAAATGTTGTGTTATAGTAGTTCAGCAGAGGTGTCAGATTGAAGGCCAAGTTCGTAGGCTGAAAAATATCACAACAATACAGCGAAAGACAAAACTCAATGAGAAATGTATCCCCCAGAACCTGAGGATGTAGAATTGAATCTGAATCTTCCCACCCAGTGATCAAAGCGAAACACACACATACAGCAGTAGAAAGGTCATAGGGCAGGTCATAAGGTTGTGTCAGATACATGGGCTTCAGCCTCCTAATCAAAGCCCAAGACAGGAAACAGTACCCCAAGGAGTAGAGTAAGTTCTCTTCTTTCTACAATGTAAAATATTAATATCAAACTTCTCACTTCGTAAGCAACAAGTACCTTTGCCAAATTCCAAATAGTTGGTATTATGCAGTGATTAATTATTTTATCATAAACCCATCTGAGAGAATAGCTGATTTCAATATGCATAATTCATGTACTGTATATTATTACACCAATGAATGTCAACATAGTTGTAAGACAGCCAGAATGCATTGTCAAACCCACACTCTAAACACATTGAACATTAGCGTGGCCTAAATATGATATGTAGTCATGTTGGTGATAAATAAAAGTATTGTTTCAGACATTACTGTCTGTACACCAATAAAGACCAGAATTCAATACAGATGCCTCAAATTTAATGGCAGAAATACAATATGCCTGCATGATAAGCTTCTTGGAAATCTCAATAATAATCCATCCATGTTTTCAAATACAGATATGTGCCAATGGTGTATTACATGGATTACATATTTTCATGTGGTATGTTGAATTATTTTGGAATCCCTAAAATACATATTTGGGGTTACCGGTATTCACACAAAAACAGTACTTTTTGATTAAAATGCATACGTTGTATTGTTGCCTCCTTCGAATATTGGTCAAATACATCTACAGTGGTAGTGAACCTTTGTGAGTAATAATCCATTGGCATTATTATAAATTCTTAGCGTAAATTGGTCAGTCAATCATTTGCATGGGATTGTTTTTCCAATTCTCAGTTGTAATAGATTTAAATTCAAGAAAGTGAAAAAATTCCATTAAATAATGAAGAAAGTCATTTGAGTCACTCAATACTTTTCACATTATACCACAACAGACAATTGTAAACATATAATTCTTTTTTTTTTTTTACTCCATTCTTTGCATTCATTCATTTGAAATACACTACTGACTTGTTTTCTTCTCCAGTGTCCATAATGAGGCCATGTCATTATTATTCAGTCCTTTGTACCTTGTTTTTATTCCACAAATGAAATGTCCCAGATCCAGTTTATGTACTGTACGCTTACTCTATGGCTGCTATCTAAGGAGTGGTTTCTTGGTGGGAGTTTTAGTCATCATGAGTTTAAAGAAATTCATCCAGCAGTAAAGCATATTAATTTGAGAGCTGTGCCTAATGTACGATGATCACACAGTAGGCCTATATGCACCAACATTATAGTTATTTGAGATTCCAGACGGAGAATTATGAAATAGGCCAAACCATTAATTTCATTATTTTAAGATCCACATAATTCATTATATTCCATTCCATTTGGAAATTAACTGTAGCAGCATCAGGTGACAATAGAAGCACACAGCAATACTAACAGAGGCATGAGATTCACACACAAAACACCTATTCTCACTACCATGATAGTGGTATGCACAGAAAACTATTGTTAACTCGGGAATATGAGTAATGAGCAAATCAATCCATTCTGAGTCTAGATAATATAACTCAATACATATGGGTATTGCCATTATATTTACTCAGGAAAGGGTTTTGTTGACCATACAGTCACAAAGGTCAAGAGTGAACACAACAGCTGTTCCATAAATGCAAAATGGTCAACAAGATACTTTCCCTAAGTGTATTTCAGGGGAAAAGGTTAGAGAATGTAAGTGAGATTACGTTTGTGTGGAAAATGTCTCCAGTCGTTTCACACGCACCTTATTTCTTTACATTTCATCTGTTGATAGATTGGATCGAATAATTCCCTTTCCAAATCTCCCAACTATTTAAAATATTGTTAAAATGCACTGGCTGTATACCAATGGTAAGATGGTTTGCAGGTGCCACAGACTATGTGGCAGTCATTGATAACATGTCTGGATGTAAATGCCAAATTTGGTCATTCACTTAAATAAGCATTTAAATTCACCAAGCTATTATAAATAAACTCATGTGTAAATATTCAATAAATAAATAAATGAGGGTGCATAAAATCAAGTGTTAACATATACAATCGTGATCTATTCAATGAAGCATTGCACATGCCTCCACGGATGTACCCATCTAAAGTCAAAGTTCAAACAAACACATGACATGTGACTGACCACAGACAGATATGGACATGGCCAGCAGCATAGGCTGTGATGAGGGAGGTCAATAGTGACATCAAAACACCATACCTATCGCAGTGTCCAACTCTTGAGCATCAACTTGAGCCACCACTACATCTCACTACAAATGAAAATATTTCATCTACATCTGTTTAGACTTATAATATACTGTATATACAGTGCATTCGTAAAGTATTCAGACCCCTTTACTTTTTCCACATTTTGTTACGTTACAGTCTTATTCTAAAATGGATTAAATAAATATTTTTCCTCCTCAATCTACATACACACAGTACCCCATAATGACAAAGCGAAAACAGGTTTTTAGAAAAACAGAAATACCTTATTTACATAAGTATTCAGACCATGAGAAACAAGATGCTCTGGTCTGATGAAACCAAGATTGAACTCTTTGGCCTGAATGCCAAGCGTCACTTCTGGAGGAAACCTGACGCATCCCTACGGTGAAGCATGGTGGTGGCAGCATCATTCTGAGGGGATGTTTTTCAGCGTAGGGACTGGGAGACTAGTCAGGATCGAGGGAAAGATGAACGGAGCAAAGTACAGAGAGATCCTTGATGAAAACCTGCTCCAGAGTACTCAGGACCTCAGACTGGGGCGAAGGTTCACCTTCCAACAGGACAACGACACTAAGCACACAGCCAAGATAATGCAGGAGTGGCTTCAGGAAAAGTCTCTGAATGTCCTTGAGTGGCCCAGCCAGAGCCCGGACTTGAACCTGATCTAAGATCTCTGGAGTGACCTGAAAATAGCTGTGCAGCGACGCTCCCCATCCAACCTGACAGAGCTTGAGAGGATCTGCAGAGAAAAATGGGAGGAACTCCCCAAATGCAGGTGTTCCAAGCTTGTAGCATCATACCCAAGAAGACCCGAGGCTGTAATCGCTTCCAAAGGTGCTTCAACAACGTACTGAGTAAAGGGTCTGAATACTTATGTAAATTTGATATTTCAGCTTTTAATTTTTAATAACTTTGCAAAAATGTCTAAAAACCTGTTTTTGCTTTGTCATTATGGTGTATTGTGTGTAGATTGATGAGGGGGAAAAACAATTTAATCCATTTTAGAATAAGGCTGTAACGTAATAAAATGTGGAAAATGTCAAGGGGTCTGAATAGTTTCCGAATGCACTGTATATATTATAAATTAGGAATATAAATTCCTTTTATAAAGGGTATGCCTGCAATTAAATGGCATTGTGTTCATCTATCTGCAAACATTGGGCCCATTTTACTCCAATTTGTCAGTAATTTCCTAATACACCACACAAGTGTGTCTCACACCTACAGAAACAAGTGGCTTGCTCCATTGTGGTTCAGACAGCTGATTATTTAATAGCCAGAGCTCGTCTTGTAATGAGATACACATGGGAATGGCCTGACAAAACAAACTGGTGCTGTTGATGTCTGAAGTGACCTGCATCTTCTATGCTTCTATACTCAATCACATATTTTTGTATAATCAGACGAGACAGGATCTGTCACTGCTAAATACCACATATGCCACACTTGCTAAGAAAAACGAATACATTTCCCCCAAAGGAAAGACATCTTTTGAAAAGATGTTATGCTAAACATATTCTACGACTGTTAAGTTTGTGTGTGTAGAATTTTTGTGAAGGGAGGTTCGTCTGTTGAAGTCGTTTTTTGGAGCAGTATTGCATTTGTAGAGGGATTCCCAATTCCATCAAACACCAAGCTTTTCAATGTCTCTTTTCATCTCTCTGTAGCAATCCATGACCACGGAACATGACATTATCCATCCTTTGGCTAGATCCAACTGATGTAGAAATGTTTTGATTATACAGTGACAATGCATTGTTGATAAAGTCATTTGAACTGTGGGGTTTTCTTTCTTTTTACAGAGGGAAAACAAGAAAACCAGAGAACGTAGAGTATTGCCATCCGCCAACTAGATTTCCCTTCTCCAGTTTAAGGTAGACCTTGTCCTCTTTATCCAAAAAGAGCAGAACTCCATTGGTGGCTGCCTCTCGAGTTACGTCTTTGTCACCCGCAAAAGCTGAGATGACAGGTTTCCCATTCAACATTAAGTTCACCTGGATGACCCAAAGAGACAGCAATGAGCAAAAATAAACGAGACAGGGGAGAAATGCAGCTAATGTAGCTACAGTTCTATACAAACATATCTTGCCATGATTGCAAGCCCATTGCCAAACATCGTCATCATCCACAGCTACCTACTGTAGCTATTTGCTATAAACTATTGCTATTAGTTAAAATGTGTGCAGTATGCAGCAGCCCTTCCCTTGATGATGTACTTTGGAAAAAAACATAATTGTTTAGCTTAGTTTTGTCACTTTCATAAATAGCCAGAATAATAAGATTGTCTGTTTAATAAGCTCATGTAGTCTACTCCCCCTTTTCCCACCCAGAGAGAGCCCATAACTCTCCAGGCTTTGGAGCTTTGCAAAGAGAAGCCATTCAGTGCCATTCAGTGTCTGTGATTTCCCATTGAAGTTTTACAGGACATTTTCCTAACACGGCTAACTCTCGCATCTATTGAAATCAAGTTCTTTGTCCGAGATTTGTTTCTGCTTCCTCTAATAACCATTCTGTCAATACAAATCCAAATGTCCCAATAGAATAGACTTAGACACAATAGTCTTAGGCACATTTCCTAATACATTACAAGGCCCTTTCAAATAATGTAGCCATGGCCAATGTATAGAAAAGTATGTCTCATGGGAATCACATTATATTATAACTAGAACTAAATTGCTGAATCAATTTGGCCAAAAAAAATAGCTTACCTGTATAGTCTGACTCTGGTACACTTTTATAACGTGAAAATTAAAACTGTAGATCCCTTTTCTGGGTGATAAAAACACTGACTCCAAAGTGAAATAGTTGCCTATATTCACAAGAACCTGGGGAAAGAAGAATAAAGCATTTTAGAAAGTGAAAAAATATTATCCTCGCTGACTATTCAAGTCAGACCAGAATAATTATTGCTTTAAGGCCCAGTGCAGTCAAAAATGTGATTTTCCTGTGTTTTATATATAGTTCCACACTATGAGGTTGGAATAATACTGTGAAATTGTTAAAATTCTGATGCCCTTTCAGTGTAAGAGCTGTTTGAAACAACCACCTGAAATTTCAGACTGTTTTGGTAGGAGGGAGTTTTGGCCTTCCATGGTGACATCACCATGTGGTAAATTAGTTAATAGACCAATAAGAGAGTTCCAAACCTCTCCGCCAATAACAGCTCATTTTCAGTTTCCCCCTCCCAACTCAGACCACTCCCAGACAGACCTAGCAATATTCTTGCTTGAGAAATTGCGCTTTGCTAAGAAGCTATTTTTGTGTCTTTTTTACAATTTTAATTGAAAACAACCACAGTAAGGTACTTAATTGTTACCCAGAAATGATTTAATATTGAGATTTTTTTTTTAAGGACTGTTAACCAGCTGGACCATTAAACACCATCTTTTCTTCTGCTGACACAACTATGGTGACAATACTATAGTGTTAAATCTGGGATATTTCAGTAGTTGTAGACACCTCAACTCCTTAGAGAAAATGTACTGACAGTTTTAATCCTGTGATTTGACATCACAAGCAGTGTGATGACAACCTACAAGACCCAAAGGCTGCGTTTACACATGCAGCCCAATTCTGATCTTTTTTTCACTAATTGGTCTTTTGACCAATCAGATCAGTCCTGAAAAAGATCTGCTGTGATTGGTCAAAAGACCAATTAGTGGGAAAAATATCAGAATTGGGTAGTGCTGAGCCTTTAGTGCTTTTTGACATCAGTTTGGTTTCGATTTATTTTTTTTACATTAAATGCACTATGCATTTACTGTATGCATTATGTGGGTTGAATGCTGTAACACAGAATAAAACAATTAATAAAAGTCCCATGATGGTAGTGACTGCCCATTACTGCTTATCACTTATTAACCATCAGTTATTCATATTACTTTACTTTAATAAAATATTTCAGATTTTGTGTATATTACATGTTTTATTTGATGACTTTATTTCATTCTTAGTCATCATCTCATCTCTGTAGAGCTGCTGCCTATGCAGCCTGACAAAATCACTATTTTAGTAGTTCTTCAAAGTAAATAAGGCATACTTTTATGACTGCTGAATACCAACTATCAATCATTTAGATCAGAGTTTCCCAAACTCGGTCTGGGGGCCCCCCTTGGTGCACGTTTTGGTTTTTGCCCAAGCACTACACAGCTGATTCAAATAATATGAGCTTGATGAGGAGTTGGTTATTTGAATCAGCTGTTGTGCTAGGGCAAAAACCAAAACTTGCACCAATAATTGAACCGACCTCAGTCAATTAGTTGTTTAAAAAACGGAAAAATAATTGGCATTTTGGTTAATCACGCAGCACTAGAATTGGCTCTGAAGTGAAAAGATCTGATGTGATTGGTCAAAAGACCAATTAGTGGAAAACATATCAGAATTGGTCTGCCAGTGTAAATGCAGTTTACTAGTCCCACAACAACTACTTGACACAGGAGCTGCACTCTTGTCCAATAGTCAGGCTTCCAATTAGGCATATTCAGCCAATGATTTATGTAAGGTGTTGGTTATGCCAGTTGAGGTGCCACCAGGAGGTGATATAAAACAGTGATTTTAGGTTAATTCAAAAAGGGAACAAAAGTTAAATGCACTGCATTTACTCAATCAAAAATGGCACTCTCAATTCAGAGCTTGCTTACACTGTCACGAATTCAGCCGAGGCTGCCCCTCCTCCTTGCTCGGGCAGGTTTCGGTGTTCGTTGTCACCTGCTTACTAGCCACTACCGCTCTATTTATCATCACTCCATTTGTCTTGTCTTGTCAATCACACACACCTGGTACTCATTCCCTCATTAGTCTGTGTATAAGTGTTCCCTCTGCCCCCTTGTCCTTTGTGAGTGATTGTTCATTGTGAGAGTGAGTAGCTCGGTTGAGTTACGCTTTCCTTGTATGTAGCCAAGGTGGATTTTTCCCTTGTGCTAGTGTTGTTTTGACGCTTGCTGCGCTTTATTCATGTACACTGAATAAACTCTGGATTTCGGTGTTTTACCTTCTTTGCCTGACTCCGTCATTCACACCTCATCACATACACAAAGTGTAAATGAGAGAGAGAGACTCGGGTAGGTGTGAGTGTGTTATGCATTATTCTCAGTGATAAACCCATTGCTGCTGCCTGCTGGTCATGCATAGCCCTTTGTGTTTTATCACATGTGAGCTATGCTCATTTTATTATTGATTAATCAATCATTAGGCGAGCTATTATTGATACATGTAGGTTGCTCTCTAAACCAACGTTAGACCCTTCTAGAACGATTTTTTTAAAGATGATTTGTATTTAGTTATACTTTGGGGAAAATAACCTGTCGCTGTGTGTTCAATTATCTATATAAAACGTTGAACTTAAACAGCATTGCAACTTTGATGTTATAAAGTTGAAGTAAAATAAAACATCCCTATATCAAAAACAACCAAAAGTCTTACTTGGTCGAAGTATATGATTCTTGTTTTATTGCTCATCTCCGACGGTTCATGATTGTTGCTCCGGACCGCAGAAAAAGCCACCTTGGAGTTTGCCGCACGCACCGAAATGCCTAGAGGAGAGGACGAGCCCTTCCAATCTGTAGTCGGATTAGAGTCGCAAACCACAAGACATTTGCCCTCCAGGACTATAGGCTCCGTGTCATTCTGAGCTCCCACAAACTCAGAAATCAACGCCAAACTAAACATAAGAACAAGAGATTTGACCATCGCATTGTCCAACAACCCTAACAGCACCATTTTAAAAAAATACCCTCTGTATCAAATTCCAAGTCCTCCTCTTTGGTCCCCCGTACCAGACGCTTCTGACGCGATACGATTATTTTATTGGATCCAGCAGTATGCTATATTGGTGAAAGAAACCGACGACTTCTGTTAAAAACATCTATCTTCAAATTTTGACAACAACTGATGGAAATGAAAATCCCGATAATTTTCTCTTTGTCTCATTTTCATCATTTAGATGATGTTTGTGATTGAGATAAAAACCCAAAATAGATGGCTGCATGCGGCTGGCATGAAGGGTTCAGTCTAAGAAGAAGTGCAATAAAAAAAATTTTAACTAGTGCTCTGCGACTACAAATTACGCGTGGTATGACTGCTAGTCCCCGTTGTGATATGCCCACGGTCCGACCACGTCCATTTACCTACGTATTCGTAAATATCTTCCGCACATAAAACAATGTCCTCATTTGTAGTTTACATTTTAGATTTGCCCCTACTATCCCCTGTTTTAAATCTTTGAGTATTTCAGTCTTTCTGTACCAGGGCTCTATTCAGGAAAGTTACAACAATGAGATTGGATGCATTAATCAATTCATCTTTGGCGATAAGCATAATTGTTTGGAGACCAAACCAAGCATTTTGTTTTAGAACAGTAGATATTTTGTATTTTATTTACCATAAACATATAAACAATCTATATAAACCTTAACCCTCCATAAATGGTCCCTTAAATGGAAACCAACTGAATGGAACCATTAAATGGAATGGAATCCACTAAATGGAACTACAACGTTTTAAACCCCTCTGCATGGTGAATATTTCAATTTGTCAAGAATATGATGCTCTGTTGTATTATATAAGCATCTCAAAATGGAGGGCAAGAGGGTATCACCATGCCAATCTGAAGTGCTGCCATTGCAATATGAGTGCTTTGTACAACACACAGCTTTGACAGCAATACCAGATGCATTGTTCATTGCCAATATGTTTCCATGGCAATAGGAATTTCAGAGCTCAGGGGCTGTGATTGAAAAAGGACCATGTATCCCTGTGTGCTATGACCTTTGTGGCATGTGAGCCTGCTGTATATCAATGAGAGAAGTGTGGCTGCTTGCATGATGACAGGCAGAAATGACATATTTTTGTAAGGTGAGGCTAAAGCATGTTTTTGAGCTGGTCTTGTCGTGATGTTGCCCACACAGGACATTGTGAATCACTACAGAAACTGAATGCAACATTGGCACCTTAGAATGGTCATCCTACCTAACATGTATTGTAACTTTGTTCTACAGTGGAGTGGGTGTTATGGTGTCAAGAGGTTACCTACTATACTGTAGTACCCTACATATAACAGGGCATACTGTATAGTATCCTACCGTAACCCTATTGACCCCATAGCTACAGTAAAGAAGAACAAGCATTCAAGAGTGCTATGGGGTATAGATGGTCACGGTACAATATCTTACATGTTACTTAATGGGTCATAGAACACTCTGACAGCCTGCAATACATCTGCAGCTCTCAACATTCCACTTTACTTATGAGCTACATAAAGTGCATATAGCTAATATTTCAACAATACATGGACTTATAATGCATCTGAAATGATGTCTTGACACTTGTTGTGCAGTATGATGACTAATTTGTAAGCTGTAATTTGGAATGTCTTATATCAAATACCTGAGTTCCAGATCCGTCACTATCCACACTTTCTCCTTTGATAAAATGAATCAACAATTAACTTGTTGTTACAGCAAGTTGATGATTGCAGGAAAGGGCCTCCGCCCCCTCTGGACATCGAGGGGGCCCCAGCGTACTCCGTCCATTCCATCCTGGATTCGAGGTATCGGGTGGGGGGCCTTCAGTACCTCGTGGAGTGGGAGGGGTACGGTCTGGAGGAGCGGTGCTGGGTTCCGGTGAGGGATATCCTCGATCCCTCCCTATTGCGGGATTTCCACCGCTGCCATCCCGCTCACCCTGCTCCGCGTCCTCCTGGCCGTCCCCGAGGCCGGTGTCGGTGCGCTGCTGGAGCTGCGCGTCAAGGGGGGGGGATTCTGTCACGACTTCCTCCAAAGCTGCCTCCTCTCCTTGTTCGGGCAGGCTTCGGCGTTCGTTGTTACCGGCCTTCTAGCCACTGCCACTCCTCATCTCATCATTCCATTTGTTTTGTCTTGTTTATTACACTCACCTGGTTCATATCCCCTCATCAGTAGCTGTATACAGTGCCTTGCAATAGTAGTCATCCCCCTTGGCGTTTATCCTATTTTGTTGCATTACAACCTGTAATTTAAATTGATTTTTATTTGGATTTCATGTAATGGACATACACAAAATAGTCCAAATTGGTGAAGTGAAATGAAAAAAATAACTTGTTTCAAAATATTCTAAAAAATAAATAACGGAAAAGTGGTGCATGCATATGTATTCACCCCCTTTGCTATGAAGTCCTAAATAAGATCTGGTGCAACCAATTACCTTCAGAAGTCACATCATTAGTTAAATAAAGTCCACCTGTGTGCAATATAAGTGTCACATGATCTCAGTAGATATACACCTGTTCTGAAAGGCCCAAAACTCTGCAACACCACTAAGCAAGGGGCACCACCAAACAAGCGGCACCATGAAGACCAAGGAGCTCTCCAAACAGGTCAGGGATAAAGTTGTGGAGAAGTACAGATCAGGGTTGGGTTATAAAAAAATATCAGAAACTTTGAACATCCCACGGAGCACCATTAAATCCATTATTAAAAAATGGAAAGAATATGGCACCACAACAAACCTGCCAAGAGAGGGCCACCCACCAAAACTCACAGACCAGGGAAGGAGGGCATTAATCAGAGAGGCAACAAAGAGACCAAAGATGAGCCTGAAGGAGCTGCAAAGCTCCACAGCAGAGATTGGAGTATCTGTCCATAGGACCACTTTAAGCCGTACACTCCAAAGATCTGGGCTTTACAGAAGAGTGGCCCAAAATAAAAAGCCATTGCTTAAAGAAAAATATAAGCAAACACGTTTGGTGTTTGCCAAAAGGCATGTGGGAGACTCCCTAAACATATGGAAGAAGGTACTCTGGTCAGATGAGACTAAAATTGAGGTTTTTGGCCATCAAGGAAAACGCTATGTCTCATCACCCCGAGAACACCATCCCCACAGTGAAGCATGGTGGTGGCAGCATCATGCTGTGGGGATGTTTTTCCATCGGCAGGGACTGGGAACCTGGTCAGAATTGAAGGAATGATGGATGGCGCTAAATACAGGGAAACTCTTGAGGGAAACCTGTTTCAGTCTTCCAGAGATTTGTGACTGGGACGGAGGTTCACCTTCCAGCAGGACAATGACCCTAAGCATACTGCTAAAGCAACACTCAAATGTTTCCCCTTAAACCACTTAAATGTATTGGAATGGCCTAGTCAAAGCCCAGACCTCAATCCAAATGAGAATCTGTGGTATGACTTAAAGAATTCTGTACACCAGCGGAACTCATCCAACTTGAAGGAGCTGGAGCAGTTTTGCCTTGAAGAATGGGCAAAAATCCCAGTGGCTAGATGTGCCAAGCTTATAGAGACATACCCCAAGAGACTTGCAGCTGTAATTACTGCAAAAGGTGGTTCTACAAAGTATTGACTTTGGGGGGGGGGGGTGAATAGTTATGCACGCTCAAGTTTTCATTTTTTTGTCTTATTTCTTGTTTATTTCACAATACAAAATGTTTTGCATCTTCAAAGTGGTAGGCATGTTGTGTAAATCAAATGATACAAACCCCCCCAAAATCAATTTTAATTCCACGTCGTAAGGCAACAAAATAGGAAAAATGCCAAGGGGGGTGAATACTTTTGCATGCCACTGTAAGTGTTCCCTCTACCCCCTTGTATTTGTGTGTGATTGTTTATTGTGGAAGATAGAGAAGTTTGGTGGAGCGCTGTGTATTTTGTATCGCCGGGATATTTCCCCGTGTGCTTTGTATTTTCCAGTGCGCCTGTTTTGGCACTTACGCGCTTTCGTCATACGTGACGTAACCATGAACGTAACTAAGCAAATAGCGGCTAGCAGCGTCTCTTTGCGACCTGCAGTGTGGCGTTATTTTATGTTTTTAATTTGTACACTTAGTGGCGTTATTTTATGTTTTTAATTTGTACACTTAGTTTACAAACATTCTGCCAACCATGGATTTCGAGTGGTGGGTTTTGGACTGATCTTGTTGATCGTGTACATACCCGCTACGAACGGACTAAATAATGAAAACGTTGCTGGCAGCGGAATCCAATACAGCTGGGAGACTTGGCTGGATGACAGAGTCCCGGACAGAGAAGTGGAGCCGGCCGGCTTCACCCTGGTCGGAGCGGACCTCGATCTGACAGTCACAGGGAAAATCGATCCTGGTAAGAGAGCGACTCTGTACCCCCGAGCCCCGACATTGAACTGCTTTCTGTGTCACTGTGACCTTACTATCTGCCCCGTGAGTTCCCCCAATTGTTTGTTACCGTTGTGTACTGTTGATAATCACAAGTTTACTGGAGAACTGAGACCAAGTAGAGACTTTGGACAGGGTGGATATGGTATAATAAAGGCAGTTTATTCAGAGGTAAAGATATCTGGAATCGCGTGCACGGACTCGTTCGTCAAACTCTTAGGGAGCTATCTGAAGAGAGCCCCGAAAACATTGTGTGCTGACATTTTATACAATAAATGATGTAGGTTGAATCTAGTAGTTCTGATCTTCTGATTGGTCCTGATGAGTTGGGCGAGGTCCCCTCCACTGTTGCATTGGCTCTGAGTCGGGTTCTCTGTCTTCAAATGTTCAGCCTAAAGAGAGGGGATTTTTGTGTGTGTGTGTGTGTTTAACAGTGATGATGTGTGTGTGTGTGTGTGTTTAACAGTGATGATGTGTGTGTGTGTGTGTGTTATCAGTGATGATGTGTGTGTGTGTGTGTGTGTGTGTCCTCAGAGCAAGAACTCGTGAGTTGGAAGAACTGAGAGACCTATGGCGTGGGTGTTGTCCTTGGCCACCTGCTGAC